CATTGTTGGCAAGTTATATGACGAATCATCAGGTCTGCCTTTAATATATCAACAAGATGGATTGGTTTAAGAAAACTGAATATTGACTGTTTCTGGAAGCGGATGACACTTTTTGTGGCTTTGATCTGTATCAGGAAGAGGTTGATGGCGCTAAAGTATGTGTGATGTTAAGATGTTCTTAACAATTGATATTTTGACTTTTATTCGAAATATCTTCTGTTCAGTTAGGCTCTGCTAGTAGATCAAAAAATTTGCTCGGCTGGGAGACAGTATCTCATATATTTTGTCTTATTCTAATAGTGTTAGTTGTGAATAGTGTGTTGAAATTAAGAGGAGCTTAAGTGCGTGAAACCGCTTGTAATGTATCGAATGGCTCTATGAATATGCCTTTTCATTAGTTATGCTTCAAGACAAGACTGAATGATAAATAAAACTATAACTAATACAGTATGCTATAATACGGGATATATGAAATATTTACTGTACTTGGTTTCTAATAAATATTTTATAATGAAAATTGCTTCATCAGCATTTTTTTTGCAATATTAACTAAATGCAGAAAAAAAGTGGATTATTGTGTAGTGAGAAAACTATGCATGTTTTTACTTAACATTTGCAGTTGTCAACCTTAAATATCAAAGGCAAAACATTATAAATATTTAGTTGCGTTACTCAAAATGTAAATGCAAATGTGGATGAAATGAAGTTTGGCTTTTGGTTAATGGTCAAAATGCCAACATTAACTATTATTATAATTTTTTTATATATTTTTGAGTTTACAAACTGGAGCAAGCAGTTGCTAGGCGTCTTGGTAGATCTATGTACCAAGGCTGTTTGGCTATTTTACATTCAACACATTTAATAGTTCAAGACTTAAGTGAAAGGTTTTTAATTTATTAAATGGACTGTGGATAGGAATGGCATTATTGTATTACTACAATAAATAAATAAATAAATAAATTATTTTCTATAATAATTTAAAATGCAAAGCACTTCTACTACTCAGACTTTAATAAGATTATTAATATTTTTATTAGCGTATTTTGTAGCAAAAAAAAAAAATAATGGAAAAAATGCTGTTGCAATTTTATAATAAAATTTTTTTTATAAAATGTTTTGGTGCGAATTGTGGAATGAAGTTCCATAGCATTCATGGTACAAAATATATTAAGTTGTTAAATACCACAGTGTGTACATAAAAATGCTGCTGAAAAAATATATAAAATTTATTACAAAGTTTTTCATTATATCTGCGGATCTTATTTCTCAACAAACCGTTTTAAAGTGAATCTCTTGGAGTGCTGCAAAAATTCAATGAAAGTAATGAACTGTAATTTCATTGTTGTCTCGAAGCTGCACGCCTTCAAGCGTTTTAGCCACAGATTTATGCAGTTTAATGAAATAAATTTAAAAAAAAGTATCTGTTTTTAACTTATAATCTCTAATGTTCATCTAACAACTTAGCAATTATTATTCATGCAAAAAATTCAAAACAATGAATAAAACAAAAAAAAAAACAAGAAACGTACAGCAAATTAAGATGAGCTGTAGTTGGTACTCATATACTTGCATCTTCAGGCAATTCTTATGTTCACGAGATAATTGAATAATTATTTAGCATTTTAATATCATATACATAGATTAATATTAATTTATTTAAAATTACAAAAAAAAATCCACATACTCACTACTACAAAAGTAGCTAATTTGCCTTCAGCTCTTTAGGTTGATAATTTGTTAAATTACCGACAATATCTTTACATAGCGCATCAGATATCGCAGCTGTTGCAAGCAACGTGTGAATTTAAAGCTGTTAGGTTGCATATAACCAACTGAGAAGATACATAAATGCAAAGATACAGTGCACATTAAAATATTTGTTTTTGTTTTTTTGAAGCAATTTTTAATGTAATTTCTACATGAACATATCACACATTGTCAACTATGAGAAACCATTTTTTTTTTGTTCGAAATTATTTTCATTCTGTTGGAACGTTTACATATAATTGAACCCATCAGTTGCATGGCGGTGCACGGTTGGTGCGAGTTAAGTTATAGGCCCCTCAACCCATTCGAACCATACGAGTATAATAAATTTACTTTTTAATTACTACTCAAGCGTTTCCAAAGACTTTTGGTGCAACTGAAAATTGCGTGGGAAACGCAATGTTGCCCAACTAATTCATATAGTAAATTGATATTTTCGCAATTTATTTATTTGCTTATTGTAAATTTCATATATTTCACGAGGAGCAGAGCAGTTACCAGTGCATCAGTGCTTCCCACTTTGTTGGCAAAACTTTGGCATTTGCATTAATTCCTTTGTTCCATCGTATATTGCCAACCATATTTCACTGGCTTCCATTGTTGGTCTCATGTTTAGCTTTGAGTTTCGCCAGTTGAGTTTGTTCGCTGTTCGGTGCAATTTATTGGAAAAGTTTCTAATGTTCGGAGAGAAATAGTTCAAGAGAAGTTGTATCAACAAATTTGCATTCAAATGAATAAAACAATTTTTGCATATAATTATTTGATATATATCAACAGTTTAAAAAAAAACTTTCTTATATGATTATGATATTTACTGCAAGATATTAAATACATTTTTTAAAGTTCACAATGTTACTTCGATACTTACATTTATTTTTCACATTTAATTTGCAGTTATAGTTCATATTGTATATTTTTATTTCATATATTGTATATTTTTATACAAAATGAACTCTAATTATAAAGCGAGCCACAAGGTAAATATAATTGGAAACAATATATTTTATTGTCTAGTTCATTAAAATAAATACCATAGGTGTAGTCAAACGGGTACCAATGGGGCAGTGTGTAAATAATTTCTCGTACAAGTACAATTGTTTGGAGTTTAAAAAAGTTTTATGAAAGCATTTAATATATTTGCTTTTATTTAAATATCTTTATATATGAAGAAAATCAAATTTTTTGAATTTCTCATATCTTTCTAAATTTACCTACGATAGTACATATAATCGAAACCTTTTAAATATTTCTATATATAAGGCAAATCAACTATTTTGAGTTTTCCACATATTTCTGGATAAGTCTATGATAAGTATATATATTTGAAATTTCACTTTTATTTAAACATGAAAAGAAGTCTACACTACTTTATTAAAATTTTATTTTTTTTTTTAAAAAAATATGAAATTATATGTGCTTTCTTTTGTCCAGATAAGAAAAATCAATTTTTTTGAATTCTTCACATGTTTCTGGATAACATATGCATAGGATAAGTACACATATTTAAAACTTCACCATTATTAAAACTTTGAAAGAAGTTCACCCAGCTTTCATCAAATTTTATTTTTTTAATAAAAAACATGAAGTTCTATGTACTCTCTCTCCTTCAGATTTCCAGTTACTGATCTTATCGCAGTATTGTTATACTTTCTATAATAATTTTTGCGGGCTAATTGATTATACTTTATACGAAATTATGCAGAAAGTTTTTACATATTACTTTTCAGGACGGAATACATATGTCATATGTCATATGACATCATGATATTATGAATATTGTTATTTGTGATTGACAGGAAATTGTATACAACAAGTTGGTCTTGTTTAGAACAACAATTAATTCGGTCCTTTACTGCTCACAACTCGAACGCGTAAACGAAACGATCTAGAAAAAGCGAGCAGAATAGACCAACAGAAAAAGAGTTGTCATACGATTGTAAACGATATTGACAATACCAGGCCATAAATATATTTAGTTTTAATGATTCCACCCTATATAGCGTGGACAATACATTATCTGACCACCATTTGTTTTTATATGTTAAGAATTGTCCTATCGAAGAGCTTTTGAAAATCACTTGGCCAGTTTTCTCGCCAATGAACCATGAATGTTTCATAATGATGGAATTTCGGGGTTACTTGAAAAATAGAAATCATAAATAATAATAGCCAATAAATAATTGATTAAAATTGATTTTTAATAAAGAAAATTTTTGTTAAAAAGTGTGCCAAAACATCATAGACATATTTTAATATCATCTAATATTTTACAATTTAGCAGTTAGATTACTAAACGTGTGTGATAATAAAAAATATTAGTACATCTTGCACTCAGATTCAATCGGACTATCTTCACTATATCTGTAAGGCCAGTGAAGAAATAATATACTAGACATTGAACTCGGTTAAGAATAAGGATAAATAAAGTAATTGATAAATTTCTTTTCTTTTTTATTAGTGCAGCTTCTGTGTATTCCGGTACATATTTCAGATACAAGCCCCGTATTTTGAAATACAGTGCCCCGTCCGTAGCTTAGTACACAAATTGACTATAGGTTGGTCACAACTAAAAATACATTTAATTTTTTTCTATGTCATCACGATGGCTAGGTTCTCCCGACCCCACAGTTTTCTATGGTAATTAAATTACCGGGTTTATCCTAGTCAAAGAAAATTTTGCAACAACAATAAGAAGTATGAACAACACGAGAACACCCTACATCTGTTTTATTATTCTACTGCCCTAATTACGGACTTATTTCTCCATATATACTGTATTATTAAAAAATAACAATAACAATATTATAATGTTATACTTTAAATAGAACATTATAATCAAATAAGATAAGAATTATACGAATATATCCGTAATTAAAAAAAATGAGAATTATAAGAGTTATATGCTAATAAAAAAAGTTTTGAATAGAATAGGTGAACTTTAGTTGTTCTAAAATTTAAAAAGTCTTTACACACAGATTAATTACAATCACAAATTAATTAAACACAAATGTCCAATATTAGGTCTATAAGTAAATAGCTTTTCTTATACATAAGAGCAAGAATAAGGTGTTTAGTAAAACAAATTTTCTTATATTAAATAGTCTCTTTTAGACTCAACACAGACCTCAATTTCAATTAATTTAATGAAATATTTTTTTCTTATTTTATTGAAAAAGATTTAGATAAATATAAGTTAAAATATAAATAATCCAATATGTTTTTCTATAGTTTAAAAAATTATTACTACTAATGTTCCTGTGTGCATTAGCAACAGCACAAGACTATCAGGACTATCAAGAAAACACACCACGTTCTGCACCTATAAGACTGCGCCCAAGTGCTGGACATTTGGCAGATTCTGCCCGGCCGACACCAGTACCAATTTTAAAGCAAATAAATAAGTATGATAGAAGAAGCGTCAGTATTTGATATTATTAAAATTACACTAAAATTATTACATTGCAGACACAATGAAGATGGTTCCTATACTTATGGTTATGAAGGTGCTGATGGTTCATTTAAAATCGAGACTAAACTGGCAACAGGTGAAGTAAAGGGCAAATACGGTTATGTAGATGAGACTGGTAAAGTGCGTGTTGTAGAGTATGGTGCTAATAAATATGGATTCCAGCCATCTGGTGAAGGTATAACAGTAGCACCACCAACTTTAGTAGATGAAACCACAAGAGATCCACCAGAATATGATGATGAACCCATAAGACCACAGAAACAATATGTACTATGATTAATTGATTCAATAAAATTAAATTTTTATAAAATAAATTTATTTTTATAGCGTGTCAATCGACCACAGCCACAACCAAGACCAGCACCTCGTCCACAACCACAATACGTACAATATGAAGAAGAGGAAGAACCTGAAAATATACCAGCACCACGTAGACCACAATATTCTTCACCACCACAAGCTTCAGCACCAGTACCACCTAGATTACAAGTTCCCGGAGCACAACGTTCTACAGATGTGTTATATTCACCTTTACAGCGTCCAGCACGTCCTGAAGCTGATTATTCACAATCACAGGTATTAATAGATTTTCAATTAAATGTATATTAATTTAGAAATATTATTATTTTTGATATTCTTTCAGTCATTTGGTGAAGGTCCGTCTAATGTCCGGATTTCACGTCCTGTCTATGCTCCAGCTCCCGCTAATCCAGCGCCTTCAAGTGCACGTGCACAAGGTTTCTTAGCACCAGCATCTGGTGGTCGCCCTCTCTTGGAACCTTTACAGTTTGGTCCAACACAAGCACCAGCACCGCGCCCCGTACAACAGCAACCGCAACAGCCACGTTATCAACCACAAGGCAGAAGCAACGGTGGTGGTGGCGGTAGTTTATTAGATCAGCTAGCGCGCGACTATGCACTGCCACAGGGCAATGCGCAGCCATTACATGATATATCTTTCGGTTATTATTAGTTTGAACTAAATTTTAGTTACAGTAACAAAGGATCATCTAGTCGATGATTCCATTTAAATTAATAATTGTTTTAAATATTTTTTATTTTGTAAAAATTTTTAAGCAATTCAGTTTTTTATTAAAAAAGTTTTTTGGAAAATAAATTAAATTTTTGCCAGAATTTTTAAATTCAGTTGTTGCCATTTCACACTTGGAAAATATATGGAGAACATTTTAAAAGTGTAATATATATGTACTTCTTGAATAAATCTGCGGTAACTGTGCTGACGGGGATAATAGGGAAGCTATGAGACTGGGCCTACCATATAACGTTTTTTGTGGCGGCTGTAGTTTTGAGACTGAGATGGGCATTGACTCTCATGTGTCATTAGTTAGGAGGAGATCTATTATCGTCAGGCCCCTTTCGTCACCGGTCTGTCCAAGCTGTCATCTTGCGATATTAGGGACTTTGTCAAATTTACAGCATGCCAGGTTGGTTTATCTTCACCCAATCACCCAAGAATCGTTGCTTTTTTAGGCGGTCGTCGTATACTGACTTTTTAGTCTATGTACGAGCCAACGCTATTTCGGTAGTAAGGGTAATAATGGGCCATTATTTGACATGAAGTGGGATTTTTTATATACAAGGCTGCCACTCCTACCTATCTAATATTACAATTTACTTAGTTAAAACAATTTATAGTAAGGAAAATAATATGGGTTAAATAATTTAAATTAATCTTTTGTAATATCAATAAGATTATATTGTAGATCAAGTCAAAATTTTTCATATGTTTGATTTTATTTAGATCAAATGCTACAGCAAATATATGTTGAAATAAGTACAGAAAGACCAATATGTCATGGGTCCATTTTTACCATTTTAAGTAAAGCTTATATTGCATGCAGATTGCTGGTTAATCTGACAGAAGACAGATACAAAGTTATAGAAACTAAAGTAAACATTAACTCTCTATTAGCTAATATATATATATATTTATTATTACTATATGAGCAGGAATTGTTCACATATAATTATACTTGCTATGTACTTTCATTTTGCTTTTCTATAGAATATATATATATATATATATATATATATATATAATACATATATAATACATAATATATATAATATATATATATATTATATAAATATATTATTAGAAGACATCACACCGACTATCGGATATAGTGATTTTAATATAATCAATAGAGACTGTTGTGGTGGAAATTTTGATGTTTTTAATTCGAAAACTCTTCTAAGTCTTATTAATTAAATTAAATTATTACTTATTAATTAAATTTTACCATTTAAATAGTTTCACACTAATTTTTATTTTGTGCTCTTATATTTCGACTTCAAACAAAAGTCACCTCAATATTCGTAATCTTAATTTTTATACTCAGTTTGACTGTTATTATTAGTTTTTATTCTTTGTTTTTAATTAATTTTTTTTTTAATTTTTTCCTTTTTTATTTTTATATTTTACTTTTATTTTCTTTTTTATTTTTATTAAGTATTATTAATTAATATTAATAATTATTTTTCTTAGTTATTTTAATGCGATTTACTAAAAGATTTTTTTTTTGATATTCCTATAATTCAGTGTTGTACTTCTGTAGGTTTTAATTCTCCAGTACCGCCTAAGTTTCATCTATAACACAACTTTTTTTTATTTAATTTTTTTTTTTTTTGTAGAGGCCAGGAGGCTTAATTCACCATCAAAACCGTAAGTCCTTAGAATGATGTGTCCTACTCCCTAACATTAATATATAGTAAACGGATTAAAACATCTCCTATCCGGAGAAACTAATTCCCACGTCTATTATATATATATAAAAAAGCTCATTTTGAATTATAATTTTATAGGAACGATTATATTTTGCTCAGTTCTCAGAATGATGTGCCCTATTCCCTAATATTAATAGCTAGTAAACGTGTTAAAACACCCCCTCTTCGAACAGACTGATTCCCACATCTATTATATATTTAAAAAAGCTCATTTTGAATTATAATTTTAGTGGAACGATTATATTTTTCTCAGTTCTCAGAATGATGTGTTCTACTCCCTAACATTAATATATAGTAAACGTGCTAAAACACCCCCTCTTCGGACAGACTGATTTCCACATATATTATATATTTAAAAAAGCTCATTTTGAATTATAATTTTAGTGGAACAAAAATATTTTTACCTTCACTGTAGTAATTACTTTGTCCCAAATTAAAATTATTGTGTTCAGATTGGGACATATGATTGTACATGTGACTTTATAGCATACTTTTAGTAGCATTTAAAAATAATTTAAACAAAATTTTTATATAAAACACATAATATAATTTTATTTAATGTATTTCTCTATATCATATTTTTAAACAAAAATATACAAGGTTTTTATAACTAAAAATTCACAAACAGAACTATTAAAATAAATACTTATATGTAGCCAAGGAGTATTTAAAATCATGTAATCAACATTGTGTGTTGTGTATTGAGGGATTACTGTACTTCAAAATAAGTCGCCTCTACATATGTTAATCACTTTACTGGTTCTTCATCGTATTATCTTAAGAAAATTGTAGTATATTTTCAGACGTCTTGAAAAAATCTATGTGCAAAAAGTTGTGTGGAGTCCTTGATGATTCGGGGGCTATTCATGAAGTACGCCGACAAGAATGACTATACTAAATTTTCATATTAGTAAAAGGCTTCTGTAAGAAAGTGAAATTAAAGTTTGCAAAAGAAAAAAAGAAAGTATTAGTAAAAAATATTTGAAAACTATGAAGATATAAAAAATTTTTCATAACCAAAAATTTTACTTACTTTAAAGTGCAAGGGAAAAGTTGTTAAGATGGAAATTAAAAGCAAATTAAAACTACATGCATTTTGTGGTATCCAAAAGCAGAAATTAAGGATTGTTTTAAGAAAGAAAGTTTTTAAGATATTTCATAAAATGTTTCATAAATTGGTGACTGTGTATAATTTGAAGAGTGAAAATTTGTGTGTAAAACTTTGAAAACTAAATAATTAAGTTTGGTGATGAATTTTGATTAAATTCTTAAGTGAGATTAATATACGTATGAGATACTATATTTCAGTAATTTGTATTTATTATTATATTTTAAAATCCATTACAGAGTATATCACTAAATGACAAATAAATAAATGCATAAATTAATTATAAATGAAATAAATAAATTTTTTTAACAATGAAATGCACTGTTGCAACATCACTTTTGACTTAGAATACTTCTAGTTACTTTTGCATTAGGAAATGCTTTGATGCAGTTATTATACTATTTTTGGATTGGATTAAGACATTAACAAATCACGATTCACATTCACATTCACACATTTAACATGCGATTAAATTCCAACGGATTCTGTATTTCAAAATCTCTTAAATTTAAAATGGTACCGTTACGTCTGATTTTCATCGTCGGTTGCCCTACATGGCGTCTCACTTTCAGTCCAGAATTATATACTGGACGGTAGTTCACATCGCCATTATGTTGTGCTGGATTAAAGTAAGTGTATTTTGAGGTTTGCACAACGGGATTAGAGAAGTACTTAAACTGTCCACTTGTTGTGCCCGGTAAACGTTCAACACTTTTCTCAATTGTATAATGTGTGTTTACATTTGGTCCACCAGTTTTCTTCGCTACTTCTAATGCAGCTATTATGGGCGTTAGGTCTTGCAATGCATTTTTAGTGTTAGCATGATAATTATCATATTTATAATCATTAGTTTCGGCTGGTGGCGCTGTCGGTTTGTAATCGTAACCCTCATTTGGGTGGTTTTGCAAATAAATTTCTTCAGGTGTTTGTTTCTTTGCCATTTGCCTATAAATATCTGATGGATTACTTTGCCATTGATTATTGTTAGGTGCTCCATATGCAGCAGTAATAGATTCAGTATGTGATAGTGATTCTAAAGGTCCCAAGTCATTTGTTGCACCATAACTATTAATATTCACATTTTCTGGATTTACTTGACCCGGTGATGTCACGTCTAATGCAACGGTTTTCGTAGCCGTGTACTCTGTTTTTCCTTTCGGTAGAAGACTAAGTATTTCTTGTAATTGTGCAGCTGCTTTACGTGCCTCTTCGTCAGTTAGTTTTTTATGTCGGGGATAAATGTTGAAGTCATCATATCCTGTTTGTCAATATAGGGTTTTTGTTGGGTATTGGGATTAAGATTGTAGTTGATGTCGTGTTTGTATATGCAATGAGAATTAAAAAATTTGATCGTCTTGCAGATAAATATATGCTTGCATAAATTGTTATTGTGAGTATTTTTTTTTTGTATAAGCAGTGTTAATGTTTGTATAGTCACATAACTTATATACAATTGTTGCCTTCATTTTGAAGAATGATCTTGACTTCATGCACATTATGAATAATGTCGCAGATCAAAGTTTTAGCACATTTCTCTATATTTATATATATTGATTTATGTATAGGGTTTAGTACACTTCATATATGTACAAAGATTAATATTCGTAAAGCTGAGTTTAATATATATTACAGCACAATTAAAACTATTTGATGGTTATTGTTTAAACTTATCTTAAAATTAAATTTATATATTATATACAAAATAGTCATATACATCAATCAAACATATAAAAAATTAAATTTGTTAACCATAATTATCTAGTCATATATATTTATACATATATATTCATATAGATTACAAATCGGCTGAATTCCTTTGGAAATTAGGAAGTCAAAGATAAGAGATCTCTTAGTCTTTCGAAGTTCCTGAAACTTTCAAATAAGATATTAACACTATTTTTAATCACTTCTCAACAGGAAATTATTATGACTAATATCTCTTCTAAAAAAAATGCCAAAAACAGGAACGGGTAAGTAAGATCTTGTCTCGATGATACGAAATTTTGACAGATCATGTGTATGGGAAGATTTTGAAAAGTGATGACACAAAAGAAAAATACTTGAAAGTTAAAGTAGAAGGATAGAAGAGAAAAGAGAACTATATAGAAGTTAATTATTTCTATTGCTGAAATTACAAAAGTGGAAGAGTACTCTTCTATCCAAAAGAAGAGAATTATAAAGTTTTGTACTTTTTAAATTGAATATATAAAGTAGTTGTTGTATATCATTGCTATATATAATTATATAGCAATGATATATATAATTATATATATAATTAATTTATTTAGCTTATATACTGAAAGATAAATTTTTGTAGTAGAGGGTACAAGAGTAAGGTGGTTTATATATTATACAAATTGACATCGAACTGATTAATAGCATTTAATACATTTTAAAGTGCTCAGATATTTCACTAAATGCGTTTATATTGCGCATATAACGCAATATAAATGCGTTATATGCGTTAAGGAAAATATATCTATAATTAATATATGTACAGTAATATATAATATTATATTTGATATTTTATGATACAATA